CACTAGATGATCCAAGAAACACTGAAAACTTTAGTATGGAGGAGTTGTTGAACTCAAGGTTTTCACAGATGATCCAAGAAAACACTGAAAACTTTGTATGGAGGAGTTGTTGAACTCAAGGTTTTCACAGATGATCCAAGAAAACACTGAAAACTTTGTATGGAGGAGTTGTTGAAAAGAAAGGAGAGTAAACGAGTCACTGAAAAAGACATATCTCTGAAAAGTACAAATAGATATAACAGTCATCAACTGAAAACTACACAATGAAGGTAAGGCAAGGGAATAAACATTACTTGTTTGAAGATGGACAATGATCAGAAGATAATATTTTTCTTATGCTGAAAATGTATTTCTGATATGGTTTTACCTCCTTTTACACAAAGTTATCTCGATCTTCTTCTGCCCTCTAAGCATTGCTAAAAAAAGCTTTGAAATAAGTGCACCAGTCTTCATACCCCCCCCCCCCCATTAATTTCATGCCATTTCTGAACATGTACATACATATCATGTGACTACCCTCCACCAATAGTATTGTGTCATCTATGTTGGCACAGCTAGCTCCCTCCAATATAGTCTTACCTCTGTTACATGAAGCTAGACTCCCACATTGTAAAGGTGGAGGAGTCAGTTTAGGCACACAACATAGAAACCAAGCAGAAAGCAACCACCAAGAATGAATGGGTGTACTCTGGGATGAACTAAGCATATATGTGGAATACCGCACTACTTCTGGAACAGGTATGCTCTTTGCCCTTGAAGTAGGAAATGAATCTGATATGAACGAATACATACACAACGTCAATCGAACAGATGAAGTTTCCTAACTTGTCCTCAGCATTAGGAGGACATGCACAAGTGCAATTCGTTGTGAGAGGTGCAATCCATAGTAAAATGTAAAGAGAATTAACTATGTACATACACAACCTCGATCGGACAGATGGGGTTCCATAACTCGTCCTCGGCATTAGGAGGACATGCACAAATGCTTTTAATCCTGAGAAGATGCAGTGCATAGTAAAATATAATCAGCAGTATCTATGTACATATACAACCTAAATCGGAGAGATGAGGTTCATAACTCGTCCTCAGAATTAGGAGGTTGTGGATAAAAAAAAAGAAGTCCATGAGTGATGGTCCACCATTCAGTGAAATTTACTTGTGTCTATAAATATATACATACATACATACAACTGGGTAAGCCATCAGTAATCTTGCAGAACACCCCATCTCTACAGTGAGAATCATAGTATAATCAATAAATAGTGCTAGTTTGAGGTAAAGCATACCTGACCAAAGAACACCCACCACAGAGTAGGATACCACTATCAGTGGTTAAAATTAGGGTTTCGAATATAAGAAAATAAATGAAATGAAGTGATAAGACAAAGGCAAATGGACATGTGCAGAATCGCCACAAGAGGGAGATACAGCCAGGTCATGCAGATAATGAGTAAATAAAGTATTGGGAGTAGTCCACATTCTGGCCTAAATGATCTCTTCAAAAGAATGTTGAAGTTGTGGTGCCAAGGAAATAGTGATGAGAAGAAACATTGTGGAGATGGTGACCTCCCATGGATAAGTTCAAATATGCCAGCCTAATGAGCTGATGAACCCAACTAGTAAGCATGACAGGGAACAGATCATGGGAAACAGAAGGGTTCCAGGGAATAAAGAATCAAGAATGGGATGGGAGTTCAGGTGTGAAATGGAAGGTAGAGAAATGGGTGTGAAAACCAAACAGCCTTCATAAGCAGCATAGATTTGAAGGAGGAAGGACTGGACAGAATATAGAATGACATAAGAGGAATGGTAGAGGAAGTGGGTAATATTAAAGGCAGAAACATCTTATCAAGGACTTCCATAAACAAGGAGGAGAAGGAATTAGGTCTTGAGGAAGAGAAAGTAGATGGAGCATGAAGACAAGGTTGAAAGGGAGAACGAGAAAGGCATAAAGGACTACAATGGGATCCCAATCAGGCAAAACAGAGGAATTTGGAGGATACATGACTCAAAAAGAGGGAAATGACATGGGAAAACAAAACCTGGCAAAAGAGAAGGTGTTTGACAAAACCACCTATTAGCTAGACATGGTTGAAGTGGACAAGCCATTGTCAAACAACCAGGTGAAGAATATGGAAAGATGAGGAACAGAAGGGTGGGAAGGACTGAAACCATGTCGAGGAGACCAAAGGCAGAAGGTATTCCACCACCTGTGGTAAATGGACATGGAAAAATGGATCAGGAAAGGAGAGGTGCACCACGTGTAATACCTGGGTGTAGTACAAGTATTTACTAATTTACAGTTCATCTAAAGTAACTTAGATGACAAAGAACACATAAATATCTAACTTACCAAAGTCTGAGCACTGATGACATGCAATTCTTAATTCTCCCATGTGTAAATAACAGTAAAGCCACATAAAGGTCACCTGAACCATGCCTAACACAGGTATATCAACTAGGTGTGAAGTGTACATGTTGAAAACTTACCATAGATCCCCTAAGGAAACAGGAAGGAAAGAGGAGGAGAACATTCTATCTATTCTGTTGAGAGAATCTGTTTGGGTTGAGACAACTGATCTGTCACTGAAGTCTTCACACATGGAACATAACATGATAGTAGGGTGATATGATAGGAGTGGTCCCAAGGTTCAAAAACAAAGAGCCCTAGACCAAGTGCTCCCTCCACATGAAATGCAAGACACCACAGTGGAATTGTCGAAGTGAAGCCTGACAATTTTCTCCTTAATAGGCCCAGACTGTGAGGCATTGCCTTTTGAAGGGCAAGAAGGTCTAAAACATTGTGTAGGGAAGCCTTGTCATCCATGCGTAGATCTTGGAATTCCTGATTGTTGAGATATGCACCCCAACTCTGAAGCGAGACATTCATACAGAGATGGATCTCTTGATGAGGTGGTGGAAGAGGAACTAATATTCTAGTATTGTCCTAATCTAACAATACCTTGAGATAGAAGAGAATGATCCTGAATAAAGAAACTGGGGAATACGGTGAATTGATGTTTATGATCCATTGGTCACATAAAGGCCATTGAAGAGATCTCTTGGGTGCTTGTCCAAAAGATATGAGAGATTTGTAGTACTTGACCCTTGTGCAAAAATAATGTCTATAGTAGTGGGATGCCACCGCTATTGGGAGCTGATGACATCAAACTTGGACATCCACAATCCTAGTAAAAAATGCCAACTCAAGAGTGAGGAATAAGTTGCTTGCAAACCTTGGAGAATCCAGTAATTAATACAGATGAGAAAGATTGTTGACTGGACACTAATCTCCTGTCTTTGTAGGCCAAACATACTCACAGGAATAAAACCCCAGAAGAACTGGCATGACTCTCTCTCCACCCCCAGACCAACCAAACTCTGATAGCTCTAGAACTAAGTTCCAAAATCCAAGGATCTGCAGGAGACAAAAACACTACAGGTTGTGTGGATAAAGATGATGAAGATGTTGACTGAATGACTAATCCTGATTCAAGGACCTGTAATGCCCATGTACCTGTGGTTATGGTTTACTACATGTCCAGAAATTCTCGAAGTCAAGGCCCCACTGACCCTGAAAACATACAATAGTCACTAATGCCGCTGGCAGCATTACGACCAAGCAGAGGAACCCTTGGATTTGGACAAAATCTATTCTGGGTACCAACTGACCAAAGAGCTGATGTCTGAGGTCAGGACCCTCGAACAGGGGTGGAACTATGAACCCCTGTAAAAGCCAATGAAAGCCAAGGTGCCAACAACAACAGGGATGAATGTAGAAGTGAACAATCAAACCGATGTGCATGCTAACAATGGTTACAGCTCATCATCATTGAACTTGTTGATCCTCAGAGTCTTCCAACAAAGTTTAAAAGGATAATAAATAACTTGGCACCATATATAAGGCAAGACAAACCATAAAAAGTTGTTGGACTATCTTCTGTGTCTGCTGCAGGGAATCAAACATTGGATTTTAGAGTTGTAAGTCCCTAGACTTACCACTATCCCACCAGAGAACATTGATCTATTCACGTTAACTACAAATTCTGCTCTAGAATGCCAATTTGCCAGGAGCAGATGTATTATTTGAGAGTTTGAAAATGTTTCTACTTGGAGGTGGTAGGTTATGAGATTCCGACAACCATGGCAGACAAGGTATAGCTGTCCCTTTCATGTAATTGAGAAGTAAACCTCCCTACATGAACCACAATGTCAGTGGATGGAGGGAAAATTCACTCCCAAACATTTCAGCCATCAAGTAAGGTGCAGGCTCAAAAGCAACTGGGGGGAAAAAAGGGGAAAAATGCAAAACATCACACACTCAATTAACCAACTGAAGAAAAGGAGCCTGTGGCAGCTTATCCCAAAGTGTCCTCCCAAAAGGCAACAGAATAAAAGAAGGTGCAGGAAAAAGCAAATCTAAATTCTCTCCAGAATGTCCTGGACCACTCTCAACTGCAGCCTCAGAGCCCTCTGTTGGAGCACCACTGAACCGAATATATATATCTTCATCTCACTATGAATAACATCACTGAAATCCTCAAATGAGAGTGACTCCCTCCCAGATTTTGTGGAACGATGCTAGATATCAGAGGTGGGATAGGCGAGACTTGATTTCCCTCTGTGCCTGGAAATAACAATCTGGGAACTCATGCTTTATATCAGCTTGCCAAATGAATTTTATTGTACTTTTTTTTAATGAAAACTAACTAGGTACCAGAAAGAATGCTCAAAGTATCTCCAACAATCGTAGCATGGAGAAACCCGTTAGCAAACGTTTTCTTGAGAAAAAGTGATACGATTATCTGAATGAGGTGTTTATATACAGTACCAGGATAGGGAATGCATTGACGTAGGTGGAGTGTCACAAGACAAATATCGCCTAGGGCAATTAAATGGGGTATAAAAGACTGGAGCAAGTGAAAAAACCAGACCAATGTCTAGATGGGCAAATGAAGAAACCCTGACAGTCGAGTAACAGCTATAGTGTGAGAGGAGGTAAATATGTTTTGGAATAAACATTTGCTCTTTTTGAAATGGATTCTGAATGAGCACATCTTTTATGGATTACCTTAATAAAAACTCAACTAGCAAATAAAAAAAATAAATAGCCTGGTCACTTGGTGATGTTTCAGATTTTTATGTCTGAGAACCAGTTTATTTTTTTACATAGTTTTAATTATAGATTTCTAAATTAAGTAGTTTAAATTTTAGTAAATATAAGTAAGGAAATGAGACTGTTTAAATTTCTGTTTATAAGAGTCTCACTGATTTTCTAAACCTGAATATTTTGGAGATTTAACAATTAAAATGTAATAGGAAAACCAAAATTTTGAAATACAGATATGAAAAAAAACAAACAATTACTTTGAGTGCTGCCAATGCACAACAAGAACCTTGTCGTATTTGGGGATCATCTGTTTCTAATCCCTCTAGAAATACAGATATAATCTAAAAAAAACAACAACCATAAAATATTAACATAACATAAATCTTAGAAATGTTTGGTAAAGTAATGATATGTAAAAACAACATTCACTGTTTGAGGATAATCTGTTATGTTAAAAAAAGTTTTTCTATTTTGACTTCTGATGTTAAGTACAACTCCCCCACCTAGATTATTTCATCGAGTTTGAAAACAATTATATAATGATAATATAGAAATACTTTTAAAGATAATTTATTTTATGATTAAAATATATTTATAATACATAATGCTTAGAATAGGTGGAAGTATTTTCTACACAAACATCAGCTTTTCCTTGTTACAACCTAAATTAGGAAAATTCTGAATAATTATCATTCACCTTTTGTATTACGACCAGATACAATATATCACTGAGCAAAAAAACAACAACTGAAATATGTCACTCAGTTATTATGTAAGGTAATGTTAGGTTTCTAGCATCCTAATATCATGTTTAACAATGATAACCTGTAAACTGCAAACTACAAAACAGAATAAATACTTCAAATGATTTCAAAAATTGAGAATTTACCTGTTTCCTTGTTGTGGAGCTCTTAGCCGTATCTTTAAGATATGATTCTAGACAAAATAGATATTTTAATTAAAGTTTTGTGACACTACAATGTAGTAAATTTACAGACCTCAAGATTTATTGGAAATATATTTTAAGTCTTATAGTAAAATAAAAACAAAACCACTTGAACGTATTTGTTTTTCTTATAATTTTCTTATGGATAATATTTTTCTAAATTTTCAAAATAATTAAAACTACATGATGACTGCAGTATAAGAGGTTACACACAGCATTATATGGTATATACTAAACTTACCAAGAAGTTTTGGTACGGCAGAACCATCCACGGTAAGTAATGGTGCAATGGTAAGCAAAGTTCCCGAAGACAGTGTGCTCGTTTTACAAGATAGAAGTTTCTTTATAGCAGTTTGATCACCATAGTGAAGGGTTTCTATTTGAGTAACTGATGTAAAGAAATACAATTTTTTGAACTCTTCAATATACTTATTGTTAGTTTCATTGCACAATCAAAATATTTCAGTGACATTCCAAATTCAGATATCCAAAATCTATAAAAGAATACTTTTCATCATGTTTTTTTACTTGAGAAAAATAATCTTAGAATGATATTTTAGTAATAGCCAATTTAAGATATTATAAACAATTCTTTGTTTTACATGCATATTGGGTTTATGAAAAATTAATTACCTTTGTTTCATAAAACTTTTAGAGCTAAACCTGGCATGTAACTAATCCTTTATTCTACAGTGAAGGAAATGTTAATATTAGGATTCTTATAAACAACAGAGAATTTAATTGAACTTTCATGAGTAAAAGAATTGAAACATACTATTTCCAGACTTTTATACACAATACTGAATACGTCTATACTTAAAACAGCTTCTAATCAATAATATATTCTAGACACAACTTCAAAAACTTTAATTCAACAATATAACCTTGGCAAAACTTCAACAATATAACCTTGGCAAAACTTCAACAATATAACCTTGGCAAAACTTCAACAATATAACCTTGGCAAAACTTCAACAATATAACC